GCTCATATCTTTTTCAGTAAAAGAAGGCATTCTGAATTGATTGGCGTTAGTTTGAAATTAATTGGAATTAAATTGGTAGAGTTGTGACTGTTTAAAGTATATATAAATTGGGTGGCTGGGTTAAAAGTGAGGTGGCCGGTCTGTGGGGGTGGCCAGTCTTTGGGTGACGGACGTTAAGTGGACTGTTGTAGATCATGGTGGATTCTGGGGTTAGTGGGGAATATGCCGTGTGAGGCTTGCATCGTCTGCTTGGTTATTGGTGCTGAAGGACATTGTGATGATGAAGTGGCGAGAGAGTCTTATCCCTGATGATCTGGTTGAGATTTCTGGAAGAACTCTATTGAGCGGTATGATAATGCGGTGATGGTGTTACTGGGAGTTATGGTGGCATCAAATCTCTGAATCTGGGCTTTGTAAAGGATATCTCGCTTACCACTCCCAGGACTTGAACCCTTCTCTATATCCTTCTGTCTAAATCTGACAATATCATATCAAATCAGCCCTCGACGCTGAGCCAAGCTAAGAATCCTCTGCTGATCACTACCGCCAAACAGGAAGCTATACAGAGCACTTGATTCAGCCACTTCAACCCCATACTACTTCCCCGCGATATCCTCAGCTCTTGGTATGCTGGGACCTTTGCGAGGATCATTACAAGGATTGTTACACGACATGGCTTGAAGAAACCTTGTAGGTAATTTTAGCATCTAAATTGATGTGCAGCCTCGTGTCAAATGGAGTGCATGAAGAAAATTCACGTGTGAAGAGGAAAAAGCAATATGAGTCAAAGCCCTGGGTATTACGTGCAGATAACTTCTCGAAGACGCCTTTCTCATTGTTCAATTCCTCTGTGGCGTTGTAGTACCGTGATCGACGACAATGAATCCACAGTACAAAGTCATTGTTCAGGGGAACTTCGAAAAACCACTCACCTGCAGCGTCCGATCCCGGAAACAGTGTCTACCGGGAATGCTTCCATCCTATTAGTCTACCGTTATCCGTGGCTTGTCCCTAGCGTCGTCCGCCCTCTTAAAAAAGATCTACATTCCGCTCTTCGTTTCAGCTTCATTCCATTTAGCTCACGATCGGAACGGTCGTCCGCTTCCCAGTAACCGGTTCTGACACTATTGCTTACTAGCAATAGTCTGAGCGAGGACGAGCCGAAGATCATCGCGCTCGGTCCCTCACGACATGCGGAGTCGATGATCTCTGTAGGAAATAGTTAAAGCAAACATGAGTTTGACATGTCAACATGTGAATACAAGCAGATTCTTGTGATAGTATTCGAGCATGACTCGTCGTGAGTTCACTTTTCTTTAGTAGTATCACTATTGTGCATGATCTGATGCTCCTGTTGTTGATCACAATGCAGATCCGGGGAAGAGTTTCAGGGAATAGGAAGCACATGTATTGGAAGCTGATGTTTTTGCTAATCTTGTTCGACGTTGCATTGAGCCGGTGTGCTGGGTAAGAATGGACCTTTGTTTGACCGAGAGGATCTGTGCTGGGCTGAAGTATGTTCTCGACAACTAGGCAAGATATGGCACAAGACCAAAGACCTCAATCCTAGAGGACAAGAACACTTGGACGGATTAGAATAAATTTAGTAGGCTGTTTCGATTAGTTTGTTATCGACCCCTGATTCAGAGTCTCAGGCCTACCACCCCCTTGACTGGTTACAAGCGCTGAAAGGTCATTCAAAGGATTGGCTAATGTCATATATTCCTAATATGGCACTCATTCTAACATTCCATGCCAAGCCCTCTCCCTGACCAGTACCCCCCTCGAACTCACTTATTGTGTTTAACCATAGCATCGACAACAACCCTCTCCTCCTCCCCCACAACCTGCACAACAACACTCCCCAGAACACGATACCCCAACTTAGAATACAATCCCTTCCCCATAGGCGTAGCCAACAAACTTAAACTCTTCCCATCCTTATCTGCTTCTTTCTGTCCCCATTCGCATATCATACTAGCTGCCCCCCTCCTTCGAAAGTCAGGATGCGTAACAACCTCCCATAAAGGGATTTGCTCTGACCCGAACTGCTTGAAGTACTTCTTTAGACCGGCTGGGAGAGCTTTGGCGTATGCTTTCATGTGCTTCTTGTTTGCGTCGCGACGCTCATTAATACCGTGGTCTGTGATTGTTAGAGAGTTTGAGACGGAGAGCGATACGAACCTCCTGGTATAAAGTCGTTTGTGACTTTCAAGTCCCATACTCCATATGAAACAGGCTGATGGACTACTTCTCCATCATGAAGCACGGGCGCTGTAACTACAAGGATGACAAGCTTATCAGGTCGTTGGAATAATTCCTTGTGCTCGGTTCTTGTCCACTTCCAAAAGTCTTCTGGGTACTTATCACGGTGTGGAAACCTGTAGTCAGTACCTGGATCATCGGGGGACCCATTTACGCATATCCATGTTATGTCGTCCAAGTCATCTATCGATGCGTGGCGAAGAGTGAGAGGGGCGTTGGGGATGGGTTTTGATGATGGACTGATTGGACCTCCGCCCATGATTTTGGGTGAATGAAGGAATCGGAGATTGGTAAACAAATGTGTATATGCAGTATAAGACTGTATCGATCTCCAAGGGGTAGATTAAGGATATAATTTCAGGTTCGGTACAGACAGTCTTTATCGTGGGAGGATGATATGACTGACCTCCAACTCCGTAACCGCCAATTTCTCATCGAGATATGAACCAGGGGATCGTAGTTGTGACGTCCTCGTTATCAATTTAATAAGCCATGCTTCCTTTGGATAGCAGAATGCATATTTGATTGTGTGCCACAATCTTGCATAAGGCTGAGCTCATGACGCTATCTGACAAGATCATACTCCTGATATAACGAGCGTAAGACATTGCTGGTACAGCTTTTATGTAATTTAGATAATCTCTTATATTTGTATTCTAAATTAAAACAAGTTTTAAGAGCTTAGAGATGCTAATTCCTTGTTTTACTGCTAGCTGACACACTACATGTAGATAGATTAGTCACTGATCGATTCAGCAAACAGGCTTAGTAGTAGATATGTGATTTAGCTAAGTCTCCCTAATAAGTGGCTATCTCCATGAAGGGTGACTCCAAGGTATTCATTCCTCCCGCTTCAATGTACGAATGACCTCGTGCACCGTGCTAGCATCCTTTGTCCGTTATCTCTACTGGAGTGACTCTGAGCTACCTATTCCTTCAGCTTCAACGTTCGCAGGACCTTAGCCATCGTGTCCCGGGCATGCTTCAGTGTGAATGTGGCGAGTTTCTTGTGATGTTTTGGCTTGAAGTCCTCTGGTAGATCATCCATGTCCTCCTGCTGCATATCCATGGCCTCAGCGGAGAATCCTTCTGCTGAGATCTTCATGTACTCGTCCCGGTCCTTTGGATCCATCCCAAGCCAGACAAAGCAACCTCCATACTTGAGGAGAATGGTATTCAAAATAAGACGGCTTGTCCGGCTGTTTCCATCGAGGAAGGGGTGAATGTTGACGAACTTGTGGCAATATTTGGCTGCTAGAGCCACAGGGTCAATCTCTCCGCTCGCCTCTGCCGTCGCGATGTCGGCCTTGAGGGAGTCAGTCAGGTCGCGTACCGCCTTCGGGACCCCAGCTTGGTGTGGGAAAGAGTGAAAGCCTCGCTGAACGGGACAAGTTCGGTAGCTGCCACCATACTCGCTCCAGGGAATCTTATCAGGACTGTCGATTTTATACGTCAAGAGGCGGTGGGTTTCCAGGATGATCTCTTCAGATAGATCCTTTCCCTTGATGGCGACTTGGTTCATCATGTAGTACGCAGCCTTTGCATGCTGGATGATCTCGCGTCGGCTTCGGAGCACGTCTTCATGTCCACTAGGCTTGTTCTTGCTCACAAGGTCCTTTCGGAGAGCTTGGTAGATTGGGTCGCGATCGCTGATCTCTGCATCGTCCACATCTTGTCCTTCGAAAATGCGTTGACAAAGCTTGACTGTGATATCCAGACCACTGCCAACCATCTCAATCATGTTCGAGCCGTAGACCATTTGCGACAGTCTCTCGTTGAAGGTTGCAGCAATCTTGGAGTCATTCTTTGACTTCTGCTTCTTAAGAGCATCTGCGATGTCGTCGAGGTAGTTCTTCAATTCGATGTTGTCTTCATCGGAATGACTCTCATCTTCAGCATCGTCCTCGTAATGACTGTCGTCTTGCGTAAGTAGCAATGTCGATTCCTTGCTCGGTGCTGAACGAATACGGATCGAACCGTTGCCACGGAGACTGGATGAGAGCATAAGACGAATAGAGTCCCCGAGGTTAGAGTCAGTCTGGTGCTGGGCTCGGGAAGATGGAATCTCAAGGCCTTCGGAGGCTTCAGCAAGGGTGCGTCGCTCGAGTTTAGGTGCCATGGTCGTGTTTGTGTGCACGGTGCTGGGTTGTGAAAGCTTCGGAGTGCAAGTGAGCAATGTTGCTGTCTTATGGGATAAGCCTCGATGAGATAGAAAGGTTCGAGTGGATGATCCACAGACTCGCGAGGTTATGTGAGGTCTGATGTTGTTTGGAGGAAGAAAGAGGATGGAAGTAAAGGGGTAAAGAGCGTCCTTTTATACCCGTATTTGAGCGTCGATGAATCAATGTCAAAGTTTTGTGTGATGGGAAGGAACCACTGATAATAAAAGTTTAGGTAAGAAAGCGTAATAAAGAGACAAACCATTAGGAAGGGCAGAGATGATTCACTATTAAAGTTTTGTGTAATAGGGAAGGAACCATTAATAATAAAAGTTTATATAATAAGGTACCTAAGGTAAGAAAGCGTAATAAAGAGACGAACCATTAGGAAGGGCAGAGGTGATTCAATGTCAAAAGTATATATGAGAGTAAAGTGTGCTAGATGGATAATCCCTTGCAAAGAGTAGGGAAGACTTACTGCTAAAGTTTTATATGATTAACAAAACGGGCCAGACTTACTGGCAAGAAGGGAAGTAATTCGCCGATGCGGCTCTGCATGATGTGAAGTGGAAGTATGTGAGCATATTCGAAGGTCAAAGAAGGATCAGAGCTTTATTAGTATCCTATGATTTATATTGGAGATGCTGTAAGCTTAAACGTTGAAAACCATGATATATGAACAAGAGGCTCGGAGTTGTGATGAGACTTTCTGCATCAGATGCGTGTGTCGTGCCATGTTAAGATTAGAGAACAAGATGAGATTTACGGACCAGAACAATAACTCTCACTAGAAGGGGATTATTCCCTCACAGTCGATTGGCACATCATACTCAGTGATCGAAGAAACAAATCCATGTAACAACTTATAAGTCATAGAATGTCTGAAGGCATAAGAAAGACCCCTTGCATCATGGTGACAAGTTATCATCATAAAATGTCCTAGTTCTTTTCGGCTTCATCCTAAATTGCCATACTTATCTGAATATTCTCATCATCTACGAATGAAGTCATCATAAGTTGTATCATTCCCTTAACCGCTGCTATCTCATATTAATCATAACTTTTCAGCCTCAAACACATTTTAAGCCATATCCATAGCCTTAATCTTATCCTTGGCCTTCTCATTCTCCATAGCCTGGTCCATAACCTGGTTGGGATCATTGTCACCAACATCCAGAACCTCAAAGTGTCCAGTCTCAGTAGCATCACCAGTTCGGTAACCACTGTGAGCACCAAAGACATACCACACGTAGCCAGTGATGCAAGCAGCAGCGATGAGGAATGCGAAAACGGTCCAGTTACCCATTGAGTACATGGGTCCTGTGCTGGAGGGGAAGAGGAAAGGTGCTGTGATGCCGCCGGTGTTGGAGATGGCGATCATTCCTCCTGTTGCGAGAGCTGTGGCAGTCGAGCCTCGGACGGTGGCAGTTCGGTGCTTTTGCATGTCAGTATATGTAACGGGTGATGAGAGGGAGTAAACTTACAGCAACGAAGGGAAGAACAGCGGCGTTCGTACAAGCAATAATGCAAACAGCGAAATATCTCGCTCCCCAATGCTTAACAACAGCAAGGAGCAAATAACCCGTCGCAACAAACGCCAAACCACCCATAACATGCTTCGAGCGCTCCTTGGTCTTATCACTATGCAGACAATTGCCCACAATGATGAACACAGCAAAGACATTGGGAGGAACGGTGAGAAGCTGAGCCTTGTAGCCCTTGAAGCCGAGAGACGCGACGATGGAGGGAGCAAAGTATCCGAAGGCGTTGAGGGAGTTGGCCATGAAGAAGTAGGCGATGGCGAAGAGCCAGAAGAAGGGGTCGGCGACGGTGTCTTTGGCGACTTTGCTGTCCCAGTGCTTGTCGTTCATGGAGGGGGCATAGGGGCCGAGACGCTTGACGGCAAAGGCGCGTTCTTCGGGGGAGAGCCATGAGACGGTTTGGGGGTCTATAACAGATCAGCACAGTATTCAAGGGGTATTCTAGGTTAGTGACTCACAGTCGGGGAGGAAGAACCACACCAGGACTCCGACAATGACAGCGGGAATACCCTCAAGCACAAAGAGCCTATCAATGTTAGATGGGTCATTGGAGGGGATTGTAAGAGACTCACCATTGCCATCCAGCCAGACCAGCCTTTCCGTTGAGGAACGAAATACCCGTGGCAAGAATTCCACCAAAAGCACCCGCAACAGCAACACTCGAAGCAAAGATGGCCATTCGCGTAGCTCTCTCCTCAGGCTTGTACCAAAAGCAAAGATACATCATGATACTATCCCTCATCAGCACACACTCATTCACACCTAATCGCACTGTTAACTTACCCAGGGAAGAAACCAGCCTCAGCCAATCCAAGCATGATTCTCACAGCCAACAGTCCACCATATGTCGACACCGCAGCAGTGCAGATGGTGACAATGCCCCAAGACACCATAATTCGTGAAATCCATTTACTCGGCGAAAAGTACTTGAGAAGGATATTACTGGGGAATTCCATAAGGACGTAGGGTACGAAGAATAAAGCGACGGCGATGTTGTATTTTTGGCCGGTAAGATTGAGTTGCTCGACGATGTTGTGCTCTGGGGAGTCATTGTTGAGAGTTCGTGCGTTTCCGAGGTTGACACGGTCGAGGTAGTCTTTGTATCCTGTCAGAGATATCTTGGGAATACAGTTGATGAGGGAAACATACTGAGGAGATATGTTATGCAAACCCACGGCATGATTCGAAGATCTTGTTTTCTCACGATCCTCTTCTCCATCTCTTTGTCGTTGAGATCAACCGTCTCTAGAGCAGGGACGTCTAGAGACGGCTTTGGCGAGAGAAACTTGTCCCAGTTGAAGAACATGATGGGCAATAGTCAACACAACTAGTAAATCTGAGGACCCAGTCTCAAGTGTCAAAGGAGGAGAGCAACGCTTGTATTTAAATACTACACATCTAGTCTGCCTTATCTACCGGATGATCTCTTACCATGATAGTGAACAATAAATTAACTTTATTAACTGCCAGCGATAACGGTACTTGAGACAAAGGCGGGCGGGCGGCCGTATCTACCCCAGATTTTCGCTTATACGACACAGCGTTGCTATTGTACGATGGAATAGGAAGGGAGCGACGCTGCAGAAAACTCCACTGTAGATAGGCACCGGCCGCCGGCGAAGAGGGCCCCGGCGGGTATCATGATGCCGGTTTGGGAAATACAGCCCGGGAATGGGAGTGGTTTTTTACGTATTTCGTTTCGTTTTCTTTATTCATTCGATGAAAGGCCGAATAGGCCAAGCTTTTGACATCGCGGGGAAGTTGTTCACGGGACGTAGATCTTGCATTTCCTTTGGAATTGGGTCATGAGACTGTTTTATAAGTTGACTACCTAGGTAGGGATACTATCATTGTGTTGCTGGTTGTGTAGGTAGAGGTGAGGAAATGGGATTTGGCGGAAATGCTGTTTTCTGATATCAATTCGGCGATGCCGAGCGGCCGATTTCGGGATGGGTGACAGGCGATGGTGCGGGTTTTTATTCTATGGCCGTTCGATTATTCCACAATTTATAGTATGGTTTCGGTACTATATAGCGAGAGAGATAAGAATGTGAGATAAGACTTGACATTGGTTTCTGAATAATAGGCAATACGTTCTCGGCACGCTTTAGACCGATGGTGATGGTTCTAGTCGAGAGGCTAGAATGGTATTGTCCTCCCGGCATCACAATGCCGATATATTAAGACCAATGCGATTTACGAATACCCATCGGAAGTGTCTTACGTTGTTGCTGAGCTTGTAGTCGACATAATTGCTCCTACGGACACTTGTTATCATCAGGCATTCTGCATAATCCTGCTATCCTACCTTGCTTACTACTTGGGTATCATGACTCGTTGCTCACTGCAGCTCATATCTCCCGAGAAACTCAATTGACGAGCTAGACAGGGAATAAGGACAGATGTGAGATTCCTCACCGACTGTGACTTTAACTTGTCAGCCTATCATAGATCACCACCAGATGGATTTTCACTCTGAATATGGACATTTGCATATGTGAAGACAACGAACAAGGGTACTTGTCAACGAACACCTCACAGAGTTGCAGTCGGATCTCATGCAGCGTGATTCATGGCCGAGATAATCGTACAATGGCAACTCTGAGAGGAAAGCCAGATGTGGCTGATCAACTGGATGTCAAACCTCACATCGAATAAAGCCCAGCAAAGAACCATGGTATACTTGGACATCGCCAACCACTCAACATACACACTAAAACAGCATCTACATCGCTACCAAAAGCCTAATCCCGCTCCTTCGACCCAACAGTCGATCTCGAACTCGAATTCCTCAAAACCTTGCCCCCCTCCGGTCCAGAATCAGGCGTATGCGTCGCGCTACTCTCCCTCGCCAACGGCGACGGAAAATCCGGCGTCACAGACCTCGAATCAGTCCCCGGTCTTTTCGGCTTCGAGCTCGTCGACAGCCTCTTTCGCCGCGCTGACATGGAGCCGCTGCTGGGTCGTCTATTAACCGAGTTGTCTTCTTCGAGGGTAGGTGTGGGAGTTCGTGTTGAGCTCGTTGAGGCGCGGCGCACGCTGCTTCCGCGACGACGACGTTCGCGCTCGACGGATATGTGACGCGGTGGTGTCTTCTCGGGCTCGTGGCGCCGCGGTTGTCTGCCGGGGAGCCACCATAGCCAGCCGTATTGTTGCTTGACGAGTTGATGATCACGCTCTTTGACTTTTTGCCGCAGCAGGGCCCGGCGCTCATTCTCCTTCTCCCAGTATTCCGTCCTGTATAGCTCCCAGTTCTCGCGGAACGTAGCAGAGAAAGGCTTTGCTAGGAGGAGCAACTTGACGTAGTCACCGCCGGGCGCTAGATCCTCCTCGTGACCGCCCTTCTCCTCATCTTCGTGGGGCAGTATCAGAGTTGGGTGTGTATCGCTCGTGATCTGAAGTTCCTTCTCCACCTCTCGCAAAAGACTCGGTTCCACGTATCGATACGATGAACTAGCCGTGTGTGAAAAGAGTCCGTACGTCAAGAAGAACCCAATCGTCGAGAGTGCTTCGGCCCACCACGTCCGTCGTATTATGATCAGCTTGCAGTTGAAGCCTCGTAGTCCTCTATTCGAAATGACGAACCATCGTCTTGGCCAGCGGATTCCACGCTCCCAGATTCCAGTCGCCCAGACGAGTATCGCAGTGATGATGCCGCCCATGAAGCAGACCTTCTCTGCACCCTCGACAGCCCAGTAGATAGAACCTCCTACACCACGACCGTCTTCACGGGGTGCGAGAAAGAGAGCATATCCAAAACCAGCGATCCACAGTGACAGCAGTGTAAGGAAGAAGGTATGGTGTCGCTTCCGAGCTCGTAGTTCGAGGAATTGCGCGCGCAGTGATGCTTCGAGGATCAACAGGTTGAGATAGATCATAGACGGTGAACTCGGCGTGTGATGCAGCGGGTCGCCTTGTTTGATGGTGGTGGGGAGAATGGGACTCGCGCCGGCGACATCTTTCGCTCCTTGCGTAGGAGCTGAGGCGCCTTTCACGATGGAATCGACATCGTCGGACATTTTTTTGGTTGGAGGCTGAGGGGCAGCCTGGTCAAAGAGAGCTCGATGCCATGCACTGGAGAGGATAGGGACTCGTCAGGTGGTCAGATAAGCGAAGGGAGAGAGCCAAAGCCGGGCTTTGATTTGTTGAACGAGTCAGTTAGTTTTTGTTGGTGTTTTTGTTGATCAACGTGGGCGAGTCGTGTGATTCTTTTGGTGCTTTGGTTCCCTTTTCCCTTTTTTCCTGGGGAGAACGTGGTTCGGTTTCTTGACCCGCTTCCATCGTCATCACAAGCCAAAAGAGAGAGATCTGAGGCTTTGGCTTTGGCTTTGGCTCGGTAAACGGGTACCAAGTACCGCCAATTGTAGTGGATTGCCCCAACACGTTGGGGAACCATAACGGGTACTGAGTACATCATAAACCGATATATTCCGTTTTTTCCTTGACGAGATATTCTATCATTAATAAATCTGTTCTCTTCTATGTCTACTCAGCCTCTATCGCTTACCCAAATAAGTAAACAATCAAATCAATTCCTCCGCAATCTTACTCTTACTCTTGCGGACTTGTCCACGGACCGGAGCTTGTTTCAAACCCCGACATTTTCGTACCTTAACTCCGGCCCGACTTTGGCTCTGTACCTGTTGCGTCACGAAACGAGGCGTCATCCATAATTTTAAAGTGTTTTTTTCAGTGTCGCTACAGAGGACGAGGTTTAACACATATTAACCTCGCCCTCGCCCCCTTCCCAAGACAAGGAATGCTTAGACTTCAATCTTCTTCTGCGGTACTTCCTATATCGCGACTTTCTTCAATCACCGCTTTTAATACTATTACTACACCTACACGAAGTATGAGTACCGACGGTACCGTTCGTCCGCCTCATGGTGGGAGAGTTGCCGATGCGCCGGACGAGATTAAACATCAGGCTGAGTTGAAGCCTTCGCATGCGTTCTTGTTTCCACTTGGTTATAAAGATGCTGCGTATCAATGGGTATGTAACCCGATATATTTGAGGAGTGGGAACTAACAATTTATAGTGGACGAGTTTGGCTCCTCAAGCCGTTGAGCGTAATTTATTGAACCTCATGCCGCACCTTAGAGAGGCGAATGACAGTATTACCAATATCGATACTCCCGAACGACCTGATCCTTACGGTACACGAGTATGGCGAAGAACAATGGTCCATCTTTCCGGAAAGAACCGAGCCTTGAACGAAGTAACCGTCGAGCGAGTCGGAGAAAAGGAGGAGGATGCCCTCGTCATGATCCACGGATACGGCGCTGGTCTTGGTTTCTTCTACAAGAACTTCGAGCCTATTTCTCGCATGAAGGGACTCAAGCTCTATGCGCTGGACATGCTGGGCTGTGGAAACTCGTCACGACCGGCCTTCAAGATCCATGCGAAGAAAAAGGAAGACCAAGTCATGGAAGCGGAGGGTTGGTTTGTCGATGCGCTAGAAGAATGGCGAAAGGCCAGAAAGCTCGAACAGTTCACACTTCTTGGTCACTCGCTTGGTGGTTATCTTGCAGTTTCATACGCCATCAAATATCCCGGCCGACTTAAAAAGCTCATTCTGGCGTCTCCAGTCGGTATCCCATCTGATCCCTACGCCGTCAACGCCTCTATGCCCGAACCGAACACATCAACGATCCAAAACGAAATCACACAAGATCAGCAAAGCACGACCGACCAAAATGGTACTCTCAAAAAGCACAAGCCTGCTTCAAACGTCCTACGACGACCTTTGCCAGGCTGGTTTGTCTGGCTCTGGGATCAGAACATTTCTCCCTTCAGCATCGTCCGAATGAGCGGTCCTCTCGGTCCACGATTTGTCTCAGGCTGGAGTTTCCGACGCTTCAACCATCTGCCACAAGCTGAATCACAAGCTCTCCACGATTACTCCTTCTCGATCTTCAAGCAAAAGGGCAGTGGTGAATATGCTCTAGCTTATATCCTCGCTCCCGGCGCATATGCTCGTCGTCCTGTAATCGATCGCATTCAAGAAGTCGGCCGTCAAACCATCACAAAACCCGACGGAACTACAGTCAAAGAAACCGGTATACCGGTGGTATTCATGTACGGAGAAAACGACTGGATGGACGTCGCAGGCGGTCTAGCATCAGAAGAGAAACTCAAAGAAGCGAGACAGAAGGCCCTTGAAAACGGTACAGAAGAAGAAAAGAAGCGAGAAAACGGCAGTGCAAAGGTCCTCCTCGTTCCCAAGGCCGGCCATCATCTCTACCTCGACAACCCCGAAGTCTTCAACGACATGATCCGCAAAGAACTCGAAGACACCCGAAAATCCGAGCAAAACAAACAATAGCCTCAAACTTGCACGTTTGGGTTGGCTGGCATGAGTGATGACGAGGCATGAAGGAATTAACACGTCGGCGCTGTTGGCACACGCGGCATTTTTCTGTGCGGTGCGGGATATAGATGGTTCACGACATACAGACATTGGAAAAAGGCGTTTTCATTACTGGGCTTTTTGTTTTCGTTAAGCTTGCGTGTTAGACTTGCGTATACCTATTATATCACCTGCTTGGCACGGCGCTTTAAGAGTAGACTGTATAACAACAATATTCCATTCATTATTCCTCAGGACAGATGTAACCCATATCTGGGTGCTGAGTTCTTGACATTGTTGACACATGGCTGAAACGATCTAAATTGCTCGGACTGTGTTATATATGAAACCTCGATACACCTGTTTCGTCTAGGTTGATAGCCGGTGTAGCTCAGCTCAAACACTATCTTTTGGATGCCGCAAGTTGTAATGATAGTATAGTTGATGGTATTGTAGCTAATCGTTCTTCAAGTCTAAGGCTAAGAATGAAAAGGGAATTTATCCTAGCTCCCTCGTTTGTTTCATATTGGAGCGACCACAATGCCCTTCAGCCAGGGTATTCATCAAATCTCCTCCAACTCTTTATTCTTATGAAAGTGCATCTTGCCTGCAAGGTGCGCGTGCAGATGATAGACACCAATCTTCCCACCAAGACGCCGCGCAGTGAAAATGCGAAAAAGAGTAAAAACGAAGAAAAAGAAAACAAACTGTCGTATCATCATCGTGCCTCCTCCTGCTCTTGTCTTGCTTTACAAGTTGATCAAGTCCACCTCTGAAAAGTCTGGTGGAGCTCTGCCGTAAACGACACGAACCTTGCTGTCGAGAGCTGTACCCTCGTTGCTGATCCAGATATGTTCACTGTACGCCTGTGTTCGACGGATCTCGTCGTCGCTAATGCCAAGATCGTCGTGTGGAATCCAGACAGTAGGTCGACGTGCCCGAAGAGCTTCGTGCTGGAACGCGTGCCTAACGAGCGCATCTCTCTCTTCGGGTGTAAGGTCCTCGATTTCATCATGAATACCGCCGAATAGAGCTTCACCAATGGCAAGCTGAGCTTCGATATCCTTTTGGCGGTGCTTTCTTCGATATTCTGAGGCTCTTTTACTCTTGTCCTTATCCTTATTGACACCGGCCAACTTGCGAAGCTGGTTCCCGCCATCCTTTGCCCATGTTCCGACCTGCTTCACAGGGCGTCGAATGGTACCAAACTTTCGCATCTCAATGCCTTGACCATTCTGGGGTTGTTGATCCTTCTCTTGATAATCGGAGCTATCACGTTCCTCTGCCAGCTCATCATTGTCCAAAAGACCGAGACGGCGGTCCTGGGCTCGCTGGAATGCCTGATCACGCAACACCGCCTCATCTTCGAAAGTGATCGGGAGGTAGCGGAAGAGTGGCCCGAACGAGTAGTTGAGGAGGACTTGATACACGACGGTAAGGATAAGAACGATGATCATGATAATGCCGTGAGGTGTGCAGACGTTCTTGCCCTTTTCATCCTGAACGAGGAAGAACAAACCAGCCATGCAAAGTTCCATGAAGTAGATACCAGTAAAGGTCTGGTTGATGGCTCGAGGGTACAGGACACCGCCTGTATCATGCTCGAAGCGGGTGACGTAGAGCATAGCATAGCGTTGGGCAAACCACAAGAGCGCAAAGGTAAGAATGGCGAAGATAGAAATCAGTGGTGCGATGACACAGTAGACAATTCCGATACAGGCGAAGTTGGTGTAGATTGGGAAGAATGCGCCCCATTTCACCTGGCGCAGATTGGTGTTCCGCGACCACTTGTTTCGCGCAGTGCTGTCAAGGATCTTGGCAATAACATACCACATGACCAGAGCTCCGAGCTGGAGGAGAGTTGCAGAGCTTGTAGACATCGCTTGCAGAATCATGTAAGAGAAGAAGTAATTGGCAGCACTGGGCAAATTGTATGCCAACAGATCCAGAACGTCCCGAACGGTCTGGAGTTCTTGAACGTTGTGTACCAGCTCATCGAGCGATGCCGCGAAAAAGGACGCAATAGAGACAATCAGGAAAACTTGAATGAACAGGAAGGCGAAGTAGAAGACCTGGACGAACTCGGCTCTCTGGGAACCTGTCTTCGCACCTTTGAAGCGAGCGAGGAAATCCAGAATGATAGGAATCAGGACCAGCAGCAGACCGAGGACGACTGCCGGCAAGACACCAGCCACGGCCTTTGCGATGTTGTGAACTGTGTCATTGTCTTTGAGGAAAGACAGCCACTGATTGGATCGAATGAGGTTGTCAAGCTGGCTCAGCGCGGCTGTCCAAGCAACGGGGATAGCCCAGAGAAAGATCATGGCAACAACGATAACAAAGACAAATCCGGATCGTAGCCACTCTTGCCACCAGCTGAAAGCCATATTATCCCAGTCGACATCCTTTGGTGAGATTTCGTTCATTCTTGGGGCCATTTGTCTAGGCACATGGTGAATGACACTCTGGCAAGCCATATGAGCTGCCACTTGATGGTTGAACTGGATAAAGGCGGAGTTCGCGAGCGGGAATCGTTCGGGATGTTGTTGGTCCATTTCAATTTCTAGGTTGAGGCGGGCCAGTTCTTCACGACACCAGTAGATTGTGTCAACCTTCTTAGTGACGAAAGGAACTCCGAAGAGCCAGGACTGTCCGAACAGAGGAAGACGGTGCGTTGGGCGATCCTTCTTCTTAAGATATTTTTCCCATTCCGCTGGCTCGGCATCCTCCTTGTACTCGGTGTTGTAGGCTGTAGGATATTCCATGGGCTCTCCTTCATCCTCCGGGCTCATAAATGGGAGAGCATACTTTATCTTTTGCCACAAAGGCTTGCTTTCGTTCGTCTTCTTCTGCCTGAATGCTGCCGAAACACCTCCTTGGGGAACAGGTGAAGCATAAGCACCAGGAGGTGGCTTCCAGAATTGCCACCACGTAGCTTCCTCTTTGCTGTAAATTTCGTCAATGTTCTCCAGCTTTCGGACAGTATTACCAGCATTGCCAAAATGTTCACGGTTTGGTTGGGGGTTGATGGCAGCTGTGCTATCGGCAGAGGCCCTGCCGTTTCGTGACTGGTTGTTCAGAACCCGGAGAGTATCTGAAGGAGAGTTGAGCTCATCCTCGTCCACTGAAGACCGCTCACGAACTCGATCAGAGTTTCGAGACGTAGTTCGAGGTTCGGTTGATTGGGAGAGGCCCATGAAGCCATTTGTTGTCTCCAAGGTGTCGTCAACATTGTTGCCAGCCTTAGAAACAACACCCATAATTCCATGGCCGACTTTAGCGAGCGGATCACCTAGAAGAGGTACCTTGAACCCCTTCTTTTTGTTGTGATCCTCATGGTCAACCTCAAGGTCATGGTTGTACGTCTCATATTGAGACTCACGAACACCGGCATCCACGCTGTGGGGAACATTATGTTGATCACCAGCCGCCGTACCTGAAGCGCTTTGGGCCATTCGCTGGGCTGCCGCGTCGTCTCTAGCATTCCGGTCTGCTCTTTCTTGTTTTGTTTCAGCACCAAGCTTCAACTGTTTGCGACGTTTCTTCTCTTCTGCCTTTTGCTGCTTAAGCTGTGCTTTCTTGGCATCCTTGATCAGATCTGTCTCTGCTTGTTCAAGTGCCAGGTGAATCTTATTTCGCTCCTTGACCTTGTCCAATAGTGTTGATAAATCTCGGTTGAGCCAGATATTTCTTATGCCTCCAGGGAAAACATCGAAGAGACCCATCAAAGCGTCTTCGCTAAGCCACTTGGCAGGAATAGAGTTGACGAGAACGGTAGTAGCCGAAGCTCTGAGTCGGTGCTCAGCGCTTGTAAGGTAATCTTGTCGAACCTTGATGTATACCCGGAGCTCGAAGAAGAAGACCGTGCAAACCCAAATAACCACCAGGATGGCCATCAATAAATGCGCTGCGTATCGGCTCGAGTTCTTGGGGCTAACGTTTCCCCATGAGAGTGTGTCGAGACCAGTGGGTGTGCCTTCATTCTTTTCATCGTCATCATCCTTGACATCAACCTTTTGTCCGAGACCACCAACGTAGTTCATTGGGATCAGAATCGGCATAACAATGGCGCCAATTGGAAGAAAAATGATCAGAAGCGTCTTGAGGTAGCGAAGGAAGAAATAGGCGTCTAGACCACATTTTTCGATAACTTCACGATCTCCATAATGCCATAATGTCTTTAGCATAGCAAGGGGCTTATTAGGCGGTGATTCGGTTCGTTCTCGTTCGGGTACCAAGTAGGTCTTGGGTTTGCTATCAAGAGTCAGTGACGTAGGGGTTAGGAACGACGATCGGTTTCAACCTACAAGATGCGAGCCAGCTTATTGCGAAGAATTAGGAAAAGCAGAATCTGGACTGCAAAAATTGCCACAGCGACAGCCACGGCAGTGAGGAAACTGACGATGCCAATTCCCTTGTCCTTGTCCGCAGCGCTGGTCGACTCTGGAGACACTCCTGCCAGTCCTCCTGAAGACGTTCTTGTTGGCTGATCGGACGAGGTGCCAGATGCACTTAGTGTTTCGGAGGCGGAGATCGCTGAGGACAGGAGGGAGCTCACGATAGAGCTGGTGACCGAAGCTGCTGTTCCTGTGGCGGAATCGGTCGCGGACGCCGAAGCGTCTGAGTCTGTTGACGACATGTCGATATTGAAGCCGTCGACAGTTTGGAACTTGCGAACAGGAGGAGAGAGGAGAGCGGGAGCCCCAAACGGGGGGAATATTGAAAGGGCCTGTTCTCAAAGAATATTGTAAGGGATTGGAGCACAATCTGAAACGTGATAAGTGATACAGTATGACAGTTGACTGCGTGAGCGATACACCATTAGCCAAACTGTTTGTAAAAAAGAAAACAAGTACCAGATACGTCGAGATGAAGATGTAACGAAAAAGAGGGTTTTGGGTACTAGGTTGAGTTTCCAAGATATTCTGTGTTTGGGCTTGCACCTATTATCGGTCGCGTCATGACTGGCGACCCCTGTCCTCCCATGGGCGGCAACCAATTCCAAAAGAAGAACAAAGCGGTGTATGATTGGACACATGTGCACTAATCTTTACAACAGGGGGCTTCACTGGATCTTGCGCTGCAGCGGCTGCTTAGCCGACAGGATAAGTTCCCCCACCTAGCGAAGTTAAGCAACGAAAACTGGGCACTCTGGGGCTCATGACATCAGAGGCTTGATTGGATGCCAACCCTCTACGCTGAAACAAGCCCCCCTTTGTGTCTGGAGCGGCATTGCTCGTATGGGATTCGTTGGCTGTGACTCAATGAGGACTTCAACTCTCGTGGACGGGAAACGGGCACTAGAAATAGAAAGTTGCGAGCCGCGCGCTTCAAACCAAACGAACGATAGTAGCTAACGTTGCCCCAGACGCCTAGTTTTCACTCTCTGAGCTTTTGCTCTCCGTAATTTTCGCAAACCTAAAATGACGTCTCCTTTATCTATCGGTCTTTCATTTACAGGCGCCACATCTGTGGTAACGCGCATGGGGTACAATGTAACTCTTTAATGAAGGTTAACTTGAGTTACGCGGACACAGCCGAAATAAAGATATGACCAATTACTTATCCATTCATTCATACATGACGCTTCAACTAATAAGAGATAATCTAGATCGTACGTGGTACGTGTTATATACAACCTTTAAAAATGCGCAACAAAGACAAACATAAACCAGGATCTAAACATATGAATAAGTGTCAACATATCCAAAACTCTCTTTAATCTTTTTGGCAGTGACTCCCCCCAGGGCAGTAAGCGTAGGTGTCACCGCCAATACCGAACCATCCACGGCAGTCGGACTCCCTGTGTACGATTCCAATGGTCTTTGTCTCTGTTAGCATATCTCAGGTGAATCAGTGCACGGGATACTCACATCTCCTTTGTACTTGTAGTAGTAATGACGAGACTTGGTCACGCAAAGTGAATAGCTAGTATCGCAGTTGGGCAGAGAATATCGGAACAGCATGTCAAGCATGGCTGACATGCCCTCCTTATCCTCAATTTTGCGAGTGGTTCCTTCGAATCGGGCCTTGAAAACTCCCTTTTCAGTCGTTTTGCCGCCGCCTTCTTTGAAGATCTGTTCTTGGCCTGCCGAGACGATCTCATCAACGTAGGAGTCTGGCCACCAGTCATCTCTGGGACAAACCCAGGACGACCCTGTCATCCTCTTGCGAGCCATGATACAGGCATACACATCGTCGCCTGAGTAGACTGGGAGAAACCAGTAGCTTGACTGGCCAAGGCCCTGGACCCAACAATTGTCAGGAGGCGTTGCGACTTGACGCTTTGTCGTGGTGGTGTTTCCACCCTCGACAAAGGTCGGCTCGCCGAACCTCACGTTTTCAGGATATCCTTGGATGGCCAATGCCTGAAGGCAGGAGGGGAATAGCGCAAGGAGAGAGGAAGCGAGAAAGAGTGAAGGCTTCATGATGAAAGACAAAAGAATGAAGTAACTGATGCAACGAACGAACGAGGGAACGAATGAATGAGAAGGAGCCCCGAAACCTGTCGGTGTGTGTTTGATCTGATGAATGTGTCTACAGAATCTCAAAACCAGCTGATGTTTCAACTCTTTATACAATTTCAAGACTATATCAAGGTCCGCGTTGCTATAGAGAACTCTTCATCTCATCTCTTGAGCGGGCATGATCCGAGAGTAACAAGACCCAGAACGGCGGCAAACGAGCTGACTGCAGCAGGAAATGAGGATATTCTCACCAATGGACTGAACTTGATGCCCTCCTAGCTCTATCCGAAGCACTATTTCGGTGTTCCTGCATATTCATGCTGCCTGATCCCCATTATGGACAATTTTCATGTCATCTGTATGGAAGAAGAGAAATAAACTGTTGGCGCTAGACAGTACTAACGTCAGAGACTTGGTCTCGAGGGGCAGGTTATATTTCCTCACCGTATTATCAACACCACTATCTAGACTTAAGGCTGAGTTGTGGTCCGACTGAATGGTAGCGATACGTTACCGTTCTGCTGGATCAGCTCCCAAGTGGTTGGGCGTCCCACTTGATATATAGCCGAGCTCCCAGGCGCTTAGCAGAATATGCCCTCCAGATACTCGGTACCCAATTGAAGATTGACAGCTGGACATAGGGTATTAAAAATACAGCTATCTTCGGTCGAGTCTCCCGCAAGCGCTGTGGCTTATATTTGAACTGAAACGCCAATATTTCGTCCATATTCGTTGAAGTGCATTAGGTTGAAGGTGGTGTACCTTTCAGCGATGATCTGACTGAATGCTTACACATGAGTTCGCACGCTGAAGACCTTAACTGCATACACAAACAGGGACTCCAATGAGACGCAACCGTTATGTTGCAGTAGAACAAGAAATGTCGTCCGAAGTGAGCCTACTGACAGGCTAAAGATACGACGATAGCGTTGTAAACAGAGCGACGATCATGGCCAGCGAATGGCCTGACTCCACTGAATACCTTCCATAAATGGAAAATACAGGCCTTGGAACAGGTTACAGTCAAATCTGATTGGGACACGTCAGATTTCACATTTTCCTGAAACATCCCTCGACGTTGCATTACCAGGGTCATTGTTGATCACGTTACCCTACGTCACTGCGGAAGCCCATGCGGAATTCATTCCCAACAAAAGATACCATGGCATCGACTGTTGGTTGAGAGTAGTAATGAATCGATTCTTGATATTCACAAATTCAAAGATGAACTATTATTAGAATTCAGTTAACAAGTTCTGATACTCAATTGGGTTGGCGCAGAGTTGACCAGCGTCTAAAGACTCGTAGGATAACAAAGGACATTGTTGGCTCTAGCAACCAACCACGGAGAGGAGCTTGAGAATAAACAAGCTAATTTTTGTTCTCTAAATGTAATACTGTTCAGATTATGTACTTGTATTGTCAATTGAGTGCTTTGGAACTTGATAGATGTGTCAATATCATCTTGAAGTGTCCTTCCGGTTATCCGTTGACAATTAATTATCCCTAACGCTCACATACTACGTTTGTCTGAAATTTTATCATGTTCAAAACAATTAAACGAGGGAAAAGATATAATCTTCAAGACAGTTTGTATAAATTTCTCAAATTCAGCCGTGAGAATCTACTCAACTCTTCTAGGCTGTCTTGTTAATTGTGAAAAGGGGGGAGACTCTTGAGTGAAGGCAACCAATAAATAGCCCTATTCACAAGTACCAGTGACGCCTGTATCATGGACACAGCATGAAGTACTCTTAGACCCTTATCATCAGGTAATCAGTCTCTGCTATAGTGTTTGTGAAGGACAATATAGTCTCTTCTTAATAGCGGATTAACGTTACTTTGCTGAGAGATAGGACAAATGTTCCCCAGTGACATCAATTGAAGAACTCTCCCAGTGCAAGAAAGCAACGTGAAGATCATGATATCGAAGAACACAGTTAGCTATGGTTTGGTCCCTCACCAAGTTCATTGTGCAAGGTTGTCCAGTTACAGGTCAGCAAATGTCCCGTTAGGTCAATGGATGGTGAGATGTTCAAATGTTATGAGAATGATGCCTTCGTCTGCACACTGAAAGTGTTCAGTGACACTGGTATAATTAACACCTCGAAATTAAAGCATATAGACAGCTACTACCCCTGAAAGCTTTCTAGCAAGGAACTTCTTCCACCCATCCATCAACTACCAGTAAGACTAGCACTAACAAATTATCTCCTAACTAACAGTGACCAACTCCACAAAATGTTTGCCCCCAAATATCCTATCACCGCGACCTACTATCCCGAGCTTGCGAGTATCATCAACAATGATCCCACGGCTATCGAGCGCCTAGAGCTCGACTGTATTATGTGTAAGGACAGGATGAGCAACCCAGAAGACAGGACCTGTGGTGCTTTCATTTTCTCCTGCGGCCATATGTTCTGTCCCTTTTGTGTCAAAGAGTATAGAGAGCACAACCTATCCAATGGTATCCCACACAAATGTCCTGTCTGTCACTTTGACCTTAGCCGCAAAATCTGTGGGTGTCCGATCGACGACGATACGTTATTCAAGCCCACACAGCAACAAGATGAGAACCTTTTGGACAAACTGCAGGAGGAAATCTCCAGCCTCAAGGGCTGTTGCGACTCGTGTCATGTGGCTACTTTGATCCACGGTTTGAGACAGGTCGCTCTCTATACACATGATCCCGCACAGATGATAAAGGACGGACATATCTTGCGAATTACCATTAGAAAATGCGACACGGAGATGCGAATCGAATCTGAGAAGAACAAAGTGGTCAAACAGTTGCCAGTATCGTCGGATCTTCTGGAACTCTTTGAAATTGCGGGAGACAGCCTCGACACGGCATATAACGGGCCTCGTCTTCCAGAGGATGAATCGTCCCTCTTCAACTTTGAACTGGCTCTTTGTAAGCAATGTCCCGAGAACCAATGTGACCACTGTCGGTTTAGAAGAGGAGAGATGGAGTTAATCAAGAAGAAGTTGCAAGCTCTCGGATGTGACAGACTTGCACTGGCTCGTGAGGCGGCAGTCATGTTAGCCAAGTCGTTCACTAGTGATGAAGCTTATAAGGAGTATATGTCAGAGACGAGAAAACTCCAACGTGAGGAATTTGCTTTTCTTGAAGCTTTAGAGCTGAACGAGAATAACCAGGATGATCAGGATGATCAGGATCGCCAGAGTCACCAGGATCACGAAATTTCTAGACTTTACGCCTTGGCTGCTATCCCAGTTGCTGCTGGGCTTTTGGCTGGTGGATACCAATTCGGTACGTTTCTTGCTAGACACACCTAGTTTTGAAGGTAGTGAAAGGTGAAGTGTGAGGGATTGTGGGATAGAAGCTTGCGAAGTTAACATAAAGACGATCTGGCATCGTCTACTGTTTCTGGGGACAGTTGGGATGAGTGTTATTGAGGGTACTGGGGGCATTTGGGAAATAGATGGCGTTCTTTGATAGTAGCACATGTAGGTACCTACAGGGGATGAATTTACTACTTGGACAGGCAATAAGAAATGAAGTCTTTGAAGTATTTGAACCTAAGTGACTGTCTATTTTCTCCTGTTCTATGACCAAAAAGAAATAACACCTTATTACCAAGCTGGGTAGACATGGCACAGCTTTGGTAATCTACATATGACAGCGATATCTCTGAGCAGGGAGGAGGAAGTAAAACCTAGGGCCTCAATCTTAAACTATATGAATATTTAGATAAGTCAGCCGAAGTTTAGGGGCCTATTTGAAGAATACATTTTGGCATCCTCTTTCAGGGTCCTAAGTTTTTCTTGCTCGATGTGGGGAGTCTCAATTACTTGTACAGATGAATGGGAAAATGCCTGTACATCAGAACCTAAGGTCACTACATGCATGTCTGTATTCAAGGCAGTTACATACACTACCGATGTCTATGGATCTATTTGCCCGGCAGACAGCCAAGAAATTTCTTTTGAGGGGTATCTTCGTCCAAAACCTGGTCCCGCTCTACCTGTCCTAGGAACCAAACCCTTCCCAAATCTCGCGTCTCTTAGTCTTCGAGAGACTCTTTGCCTTCATGACCATCAATTGTCATCTTGGGAGACAGTCTCTTGCTCTGCAGGAGACTCTTCCACCTCTGATAGAAGCTCAGGCTTGAAGTGAAGCACCCGAATCTTCATTGAGCTGAAATCCGCTTCCAACCAAACCTCGTTCTCTCGCTGCGATTCGATCGCGGAGTCGACAATGTCATTGATCAACTGCTTGATGGCGGCAGGAGGTTCGACTTCGAGAACAGGTCCAGTTACATCCCGCGAGCAGTATTCATCAGAGTTCGAGAGCTTGATGCCGATACCTAGGTACTCTCCCTTGAGCTCCTCTGCAATATCTGGGCTATTGCTCAATTCCTGGTCGAAGAGTTTCAACAGACCCACGATGCCACAGGGGCTGCATCCTTTTGGCATACCTCCACCTTGTGACAGGATGGAAGGCAGCCTATCCAACCTAGTTAAGGGCATGGGCATGCCAGTGTGAGCGTGGCCGCATTCGTGAATGAGTTCTGTGCGACATGTAGGACATCGAGATTCTCCTGTTTCATAATATGCGAGTAGACATCTACCGCACAGAATGTGGCCGCAAGGGAGGACGCGTGGACGGCGTGGACTTCCGGCATCATCGTCGTCTCGACGCCGGTACTGAAAGGGCTCATTGCAAACGACACACTCTAGGCCGAGAGTTTCCAGACTGGCGACCCCGTTGTTCTCGGCGAAGGCCTTTAGACTGGGCCAGAAATCCTCCTGGACAGGCATGCTGCTTGGGGAGTTTGGAATTGATGGAAGGTGCTGGGATATGGAAATATTTTGGAAAGCTTTCCAAAATAAGTCGATAATGGTTTGTGGCTTTAGGTAAAATGCGGTCTGAGCTGTTGTGTCAGCCGGGTATGAAGATGATGGGAATAAGGGGAAGAGGGATGCAGTTGAAAGTCAAATTTACCTTGATGAACTGCAGACTTGGTGAATATATAAAGTTGTAGAACAAATAGCCTTGAAGTTCTTGGTAAAAAAGAAGGAATGGGAAGAGTTGAACAGGCTTTGCACTTCTTGCGTTATAGGAACAGAAGATGAACTTGAACTAGTACTCTCAACCATAGTGATTCCTTCGTTCGTACCACTGCCAATACCACTGCTACTGTCACTGACAGTGACGAAAAACCAGATGAAAGACACAACGTCGCTGGCACTGGAGTGTTGCCACTAGTAATTGCGAAAAGGGGTTAGTTAGGCCGTCTACTGAGCTTGGGATCCAGGTCGAGGTATTACCACTGCACAGCGGTAGAAAGCCCATGATAGTTTAGACAAGTGATGAATTAATATATAGTATAAGGGCCCGTATTCATTTGTCGGAGGATATAGCGACTGTGTCTCGGTATATAAGTGGATGCATTTGTTGACCCCTTATTACAGATGAAATATTATATATAAGGAGATGAAGATGGAAAGTCAAGGCTATACTGAAAGAACTACTAGCAAGGGGTCTTTGAGCTCTTATTTTTATCTCAATAGGCACACGTAATCAGAAATGTGCATCAGGCAGAAAAGCAAATACAAACTAAAGGAAATAGACAAAAGTCGACAACCTTTACCAAACTCCAAAGTTGAACCAAATCTCCCCCTTAAACAACAAGTTTGAGCCAAACTGTTTTTGTCTGTTTCTGCAAACCATGCCACATCTTCAATATTTACTACTGAGATCCCAGGTCACGGACCTTCACCGGGGCGCCAGTATAGCAACAGTTATTCCAGAGCTTCGTACTGCTCTCATACTTGTCCAAGCGTCGTTGGTATTGAGCAACGAAAGTTCTGAACGCTGCTGGAACACGCATTTCCGGGCAGTTCCGCATCCAGAGAAGTGGAAAGGTCTCACCACCGTAGCTCAGAGATACAGCATAACGCCCCTTGGACTCTTCGGGGAGGAGATTGTGGAGGTTGTCGGTAAGCTCGTCTACGGTGTTGTTGGTGGCGCATTCGTCGCAGTGATCGGCAATAATGCCTCCATTATTGAGCGTGGGGGGTATGAAGTCCATATCTGGTTTATTTGAGGGCATATACAATCCGTGGAAGTAATGCCCACACATGGGATGGACGAATACAGTTCTGCAGGCTGGGCAGCAGATCTCGGTTTTGGTCTGGAGGCAATATCGAACATTCTCCCTAAAGCAAGAAGCCCCAAAGATATTCCCACGGGAGAGGATCACTCCCCGGAGGGTTTCTCCCTTACCGTTCTGGAGCTTGTGGTCAAATGGGAGGACGGTGACATCCCCCCGACAGATGCCACCTTCTGGGGCAAGATCCCTCAATTTGACATTATTTCTCTCGATATCAGAGGCGAGCTGAGGCCAGAATGACTCCTTGGCCTTTTCGGTGATCTTCTTTGGGCTGGTGCAATCGACGGGCGTGAGGAAAATGATGCACATCTTGTTTTGAGGTAGAGAGTCTGGGGTCGTAGTGTTAGCTGGTTTTGGGATTAAAGAGTATGAAATGTAAGTGTGTGTGTGTTTGATAACCTAATATGGGAGATAGGGATTCACCTGGAAAGGGGACATATGTCTTTCTATACCCAATAGTAATCAAGTTCTGCTCTCGATCAGATCCAGAGCCCTTGCCAGGTCTCCCAAATTATTCCCCCATGAATGTTTCCAGTCCAGGTTACCACTTGCCAAGTCATGGGACAACATACTGCTCAAAACCTACCTTGATAAAGTAAGAAGACGCCGATGTAGTGTGAGGTTGTATGGATATAGGAACGGGCGTGAGGGGAAGAATGGATGGTAAACCGTAACTGTGGCAAGGGCAAAGTTGTGTTTGAGTTGAAGAAGGGGCAATACCTTGAGCATAGTCTACAGTCACAGAAAACGAGCTTTGACTGGCAACCTACCACAGAATGCAATCATTTCGCTGCCAGTGTCAGCCTCCAGATAAAAGCTGCCCATTCCTCCCCATATCCAGTGCCGCTATTCCAAAGATTTGTTCATGTTCAGTATAGTTACTCATAACCAGGCCACGAACAATAAAATAAGAGGCAAAGAACTCTGTTAAAATGTAAGTGCTTTAGTATTGGCTGGATCGGCGTTCATGTTCACGATGAGGGCTCTCTTCCTGTGCCAATTGGCCCCCTGAAACATCTACTACAAGGAGTAAATCTACCCGCAATTTCTAATGGACGGGAATACACCACACGTGAATATATAAAAGAAGTCAATGTTGACTCTCGTGGGCTCTGGACGCTTCTATTTGGATCTGGTAGGACTCAGTGCTCGGTGGGTGATCATATGGTCCGCCTGCAGACACCGATATTACAGTCACCATGCTGTAGCCCTATTTTTCATCGTACGAAGAGCCTGCATACATTCTAAACTGAACTCAAGTGGCAGTCATATACCCTTCTCAAGAATTCATTTGCCTGAGAGACGAAGCTTGTTCCATAGACATCTAACCAAGTGTCCCTCACACCTCGAGTCCGAAGTCGAGCCCAAGCAATATTCACGGTGGCCAATAATCTGGGGAGATCATTGGCCGAGTGGATATAATCATGAGTTATCGATATTTAAAGTTGTAGTTAGAAAATGTATACTTTATTTCCCCGGGTATGGTGGTGAATAGACCTCGGGTCGTGATTCAAACTGTTACAAAAGTTTACGCATATGGTCAACTTCATGCTTTCAACAAGAAGATAATATGACAATAATTATTCTAAGCCTCATTATTTTAATCTATTCGAACACTTCATGACTGCACCTGAGCTAGAGATTATTTTGAAGGTGAGGCCGAGAACCCGGGGATTATACTTTGGTTGTCCTCCCACGGCCCAATTGCAATTCACGCCGTTTTAGAAGTGCAAATGGTAAGGACATAAACTTGGAGCATCCAGTGAGAGACCAGTCGACCATGCTGATGTTAGTAAACCTTCCCTTTCGCGTTCAAAACTTACACGGGTGTAAGTGAACACACAGCCACAATTCACGCTTAAATAGACTACAAAGATGACTCGATCAAAGAGCTCAACCAATACGTGAACACTACGGAATAACACTTCCAGAACATTCATCCTAAAGGACGAGAATGTTCTTCACGTACATTCATCCTAAAGGACGAGAATGTTCTTCACGTACATTCCTGTGAGTCAGTCTCTGTTCCAGGAACGTCCATCGATTGGTCCTGTGTACAATTTTGAGAGTCTACATAGACTTTTGTTCCCCTTCCTTCATCACACATGGCTATCACTGTCAGTTATAAGCTCTACAAGGGGACAATATGACTTGAAAAGTTAGAGCTTGGACTCAAACCCTCGTGGAGTGAGGGGATCCAAGTTCTTCTTCCAAGACCTTCCATCCGATTGCCAGTGGCAGAACTTAATCACTCCTCTGGGTATAAAAAGGCGTCTTCCCCCCCCTGTTCAGTCCTGGTTTCAGATTCTCTCCATCTTCTTCTTTCATCAACTTGACTTACGATATCAAGTTCACTTCTATCATCTCATCTTGCATCATCAACTCTACTTCTGTCATCAGCTTGACTTCTGTCAGCCCATCTTTTATTATCAACTCGACATACATCATCGACAACCTCCTCTCATCAACGACCTTCTATCATCAGCTCGACCTACATCATCAACCATCCTTCTGTCATCACATCTTTCATCACTCTTCTCATCATGTCCGGACATTTATCCACTCTACTCCATCACATCTCTTCAACCCACTCCAAAGACACAATGTGTGTTCTGGAAAACCTCAACAACAACACAGAGTGGTGCAGCATCCCCAACGATGTACCAAACATCACAGAAGAGTCGGAAGACAGCTACTGGCCCAATCTAGAAGCCAGCATCGATAACAACGAGATCGAGTTCAAGGATCTCTCAATCGAGTGTGTGGTCTGCCGCTCCAACGTAACCATCTTCCCAAAAGATCACGTCGTTGATGAGGAAGTTGGCGAGAGTCACAGGGCTATTATCCTCCCCTGTGGACACATCTTTGGTGCCTCGTGCGTCAAGAGATTCTTCGATTTGAAGACAGAGGAGGGAGCTCGTGCCTCCTGTATCAAGTGTCGAGCCGCCTGCTACCATTCCCACCCAGACTGTGGACACCCCTTCTATGGGGAACCCATGCCCTCGCATAAGCCAGGCATGGCCTTCACGCCTCATGTCTTGGGCAAAGGCGGCAAGATAGATGACTGCTGCAAGATGTGCACCTATAAAAAAGCCATCTACGATATTACAGCAGAAATTCAGCGAGCACCAGACCTCCCTGAGGACATGAAGAAGTCCCTTGGTGTTGTTCTGACGGTTGATGGCAAGTCTTATACCACTCGTCGAGTTGTGATGAGCCGCCTGCAAGAGGTGTACTTTCCCACTTCTGTTGCGGACCTCTTCGTTGAATACAAGAATCGACTGGAGGAGAAGGAAGGCGGGCAGGACTACTGGATCAGTGGCTATCTCAGCCAGTGCAAGGTCAAATTATATGTACTTGCACCACAGAACTAGGGTACATTGCCTGGAGAATAATGAGAGATATGAAGTTGCATTGGGTGTTTTTTTCCTTCTTTTTCTTTATAAGTTTGGAAATATGGCTGTTTGGAATACTGTTTCTTTTTTTGTCTGGCATGCAAAGAATAATGTCTTTATTTACTGGGCATGGCATGGCGCAAAGGTTTAACTATACCCTTACTGCATCGACAATATAATAGTGTACAACCACTGATCATTTTAAAAACATAACTAGTGACTAGTGACTGTCCTACCAAAAATCATCACCAAGCAACAAATCCTTTGGCCAAGATTGACAACATGCTCGCAATGAAATAGCATATCAATCTTCATAAGTGCTAAACCAAAATCTCATCCAAAGGACGATCCGTAACCATAACATACATACATAAGAATCCTTAAAGCCATCATAATCGTTTCGCTGATTCCCAGACCAGCACAATAACACTATCCTTGACATCACCCACTTCCTCGCCCCATCTCTTCTTCAACGCCGGCTCATCAATAACGCCTCTTTTCACATAAGCCTGCCACACATCCCCTTCAGCGGTAGTGACAGAGTCCATCAACTTCCACACATTTCGTCGTCCCGTCCAGAACAACATCTTTCGATCTGTGTCTCTTTCTTTGAGCTTCACGGGACCAATGACGGAACGACGGGAGGAACTGGCTTTTCCGGCGGTAGAGAGCGGCATGTCGGAGAGGTGGATTCCATCGGGGTATTCGGTTATGGTGTAGCCATTCACGAGGACCCAGTTGTCGCGAAAGCGGTAGCGTTGAAGGAAGCATGCTTCGCCGCAGACATCAGTGACGAGATGGGCTTGGCTTGGGGTGAGGTGATGGCGTTCTCCGTAGTCGTGAAGAGCCAGGGGTTGAATTCCCGTCTCATAGCTATCCAGATGGGAAGAGTAATCGTCGTTGTCCTTGGGTGAGTAGAAGCTTGGGATGATATGCATCTTCATCTTGGTATGCTTCGCCAAACAATCCTGAAGAATACCGTCCCAGCGCTTCTTGCTCGTAGGACTGTCTTCGACACCATCAAAGCATGGCAGATGCGTGACTTTGGATATGGCAGGTCGTGTAAGGAAGATTGCCCCACCTCCATAAGTCGTCATGAATCCTTCGCCGATAGCCCAGTCTCCTCTCTCGCTCGGTAATCCAATGTACAATTCCTTCTCAGAGTTATATGCGAATAGTCGTTCTTGGAGGTACGAAAGGTTGGGTAAAAAGATCTCCTCGTCCAAAATGCCGTACCACTTCTTCATCTGTCCTTTCTGTGCGAGTGTAGCGCTATACTTCTTGGCCGACTCCATCATGTTGAAGTATCTCTTCGCGGTAGAGATCTGACCCTCCGAGATAGTAACATGAGCATCGATGCCCAAAGATACCAAAACCTCAGTCAGCTTCTTAACCTGCTGGTAGTGCCCTTGATCAAGAACAAGCAGAAAACTCGCTCCGTTCCCATGCTGATTCCCACCAGTCATCCACCTTGCCCAATCCTTCGCAACAGCATAATCATCCCTAACAACCCGATCAAAACTCGTAGAGATCGCAAACACAAAGTCCGAAGCGTCAATCTGTCCTGGCTTCGGTCCTCCTACAATCGGAAGGCTAAGTTCCTGTCGTGCAACCAAATTTCTCCTCTCGGGAGTCTTGGTATCGATAATTCGGGGCTGATTTGAATGAAAGTCTGTATCGATGTTCGTGACTGAAGCATACTCAGAGTCCTGCTCTGAAACACGGACTTTCCATGCAGTCCATGAAGTTTGATCCGAAAGTCCAATTTTCTGCCTTAGTCGCTCGAGGTACTGTTCTTCCGGAACTGGTCCTTTGATGGCGATTTCAGTATTGCGGTTTGTTCGAGGCCAGTGCAGCCATCTTGTCTGAAAGAAGAGAACAACGACGACAACAAGAACAAGCAGCTGAACAACCCTGCGGGGAATAGTAGGCGGGCTAGAAATCATAATCATGATGAATAGACGATCCAATCCAGTAAAAAGAGTGACTTGGGTGGGTATAACCTGGATAAATGAGTGTGTTGCTTGGCTATAACAAAGGCATGATCACGCTGTGAGAAGCGGGTAAAGACTGACTACGGTGAAAGAGAAGAAGCAAAAAGGCTTCGACTCCCGAGTCGTGAGGCACAGCGAGAGATTTAAGTAAATTAGACTCAAATGGTGTAGAGTGACAGACTGTCACACTGCCCTTGTCTAGTGTAACGTCCGTCACCCAAAGACTGGCCACCCCCACAGACCGGCCACCTC